CAATAACGAAGGGGACAGCTGCAGCTATAGAGCCAGTGTTTTAAGGGCAAAATACTGCGTTATTTACCTGGTCATCGTACTCCCCGTTGTAGCCGAAGCATCTCCAACATCTGCGCTTTGGATGGTAAGAGTAATGAATACCTGTCCCATCAAAATAGATTCTCTTTCGATTATTGTTTAAAATTCCAAATTTTCCTAATATTTTCTTCTTCTGCTTCCTCTGCAATTCAGCAAATCAACACGAAAAAAGTTTCGACGCGAATCTTAATATTTGAAGAAGAGGAACAAGGAGGAGGATTCTAATCCTTTCTTGATCGACTTTAACCGATGTCTCAATATTAGAATAAACGGACTGCGTTGATAAACCCACTGTATGTAAACATTTTCAGCTTTAAATCTGTTTAATTTCGTTTAAATTTTTCTGGATTGGCAGAAGAATTAAGATTGATCGAGAACTTTCTTCGTTTCAATTCAAAGTAAAACAATTAAAAAAATGCTGTCACTTCCCTTGTCTTTTTGCACTTTTTAAGTAAACAAAATTTAAAAAAAAATCGTTACTCTTTCCTATTTATATTTTTCTATGTAACCCAACAAACCTTAAAAAGAGAAATTTATCGGCCTTTTTGATTAAAACCGACATAAACGTTTCTATTTTGTATAATCTTCTTGGAAGGATTTGCCACGAACGAGCTGCATTAATAACATAAAAAAAGGGAAGAGGACATAACACATGCGTCGCGGTTTTTTGAGTTTCTCATGTTACGTTAGTTGCTTGGTATTACTACTGAAATCATCTTTCGTTGGACAGAAAAATTATAATTGACGGAAAACTACTTCGAAGTCGATGTGTTGACGAAAATAATAAATTTCAACTTTGAATTTTCCCTGTACTAACAAGATATTTTTTAATGCCTAAATTTTTATTCCAAATCCAACCATGTGCGATGCAACATTTTTATCCTTAGGATAAGGAGGAGAAGATCGCATTCCACATAACATAACAGACCCCTCATAAGAAATTTTTAATTGCTTTCGTAATTTTTGTGACTGAGAACATTACCTTATTATAAAGTCGAGAGTTTTACGCTGTGTATATTACTTCGGAGAACAACAATTAATATTTATTTACACACCCACGATGAGTGACCAACAACAACGCCGATAATATTCTAATTCATTTTCAGCAAAATCAATATTATATTGATATTTTTCTGTGGCAGAATAATTCAGTTTCTTTTCTTAGAGTTGGCAATGCCTTTACTAATACTGTGCAGATAATTACAGTATTTTAACGCAACAGCTGTTCGCCTTGTTTACATATGAAAACAATTTGCAAATATATGTAAATTTTAAAACAGTTCTAATCCCTTTTTTTAAGCAAATGAAAACAAAAGAATGTATTATTTCTAAATTAGTTTTATATGTCGAATAAGTTAATGCTTTAACTGAAAATGTCGCAACGATTGAAATGTCTTCAAAGTATTAACAGTTTGCCGATTAATTTAAAGCGCCAGAAGCAAAGAGAGCAGAGGAAACTTAATAATGGTGTTGGAAAAAATCACAAAAAAAATCAAAAGAAACTACGAAAGAAAGGCAAATCGAAGAACGAGGATTTTGAATGGCAAGAATTGCAGGCGCTTATAAGTGCAACCGAATCGGAATTGAAAACTATACTAGAAAATGAACCCGTACTAGCAGACATACCTTATGATATTTCACCGGAAGAATTGGAAGGAGAGGTAAAAAGTTCATAGTTTTGACTTTAAGACCTCTAAATTTTCAAAACAGTATTAATCTATTCTTTGATTGTAAAGTTTGAAAAACGTTTTGAAAAAAACAAAATTTCTAATTTGGGGCGAATTGTACTGGGCCATAAGCCTCCTGATAGCATAAGCCATCAGCCTTAAAAAGCGTTGATTTAAACGCTCCTTCGCAATAATATTCCTCTTGACGGAATTATAAAATTCTAACTAAAATCGCTTAGATCTCCTATAAATATGAATATGGTTTACGTTACTAGCTTTGTGATAAATACAAGTACATAAGCACTTTTCCTGATCATTATTTATATCTAAGTGAAATTATTTATGGATAACATTGCGAAGTAATGCAAAAGCACAACGCATTCATTTAGCTTAATTATAGGAAAGAGCATTCGTTCATATACGGGGAGCCAATAATATAAACAACAAATTGTTTTAATGTTTTATTTATTGAGCTTACTATTAAAGATCTGTGCATATAATTATTTTGTTTATATCATTTGTGTATATATATAGATTGCGTTAGCCAAAGGCTCTGGTATGACTATTTATATTCAACGTGATGGCTTGTCTACGCTGACTGTTGTGGTAAGTTGGAAACTCAAATTTTTTTTCATTTTCGGAAAATACTAAACCAGCTATATATGTTCAAGATAATAATCAAATTAATTATATCTGAAGGCAGACATTTCTAACCGTTGAGATATGCCATCCAAGAGACACGTGGACTTTTGCTTCTTTCTAAAAATTTGACTTTCATTATTTGAAACGAAAATTAGTTTTTTAAATGCCAAAAAGGACCCAACCCAAACCCAAAAAATTGACTCATTAACACAATAAATATTGCAGACAGTTATCCATAATTTGGAAAAAATATTTATTAAAGTAGTGCAATTTAGTAGTGTACTTAAAAGAAGAAAAAAAAAATTCCTCAGCCACAATAAAAAGGATTAAAATAGAAAAACGTTCCGTATGCTGATTATAGGAATATTTTAACTTCTTGTTCCTTCGAAACTCCTGGCGGAACGCAGACTTCTTCTTCTTTCTTTTGAAGACTTTGTCATAATTTATCCCGAGTGACAAGATTCTTCAGAAACGGATTCCGGGGGCAAGTCGGTGAAAATTCAGACACATTCGGCTTTGGTTTTGTCGCTGATATCGTGAAGGACCCAACCAGCCAATCTCCATACATTTCCAAGCCGTTTGATGCGACGAACGATGGTTGATTGGTACACATTCGAGTTTTCAAGATCTCAACCCCTTCCACGGCTGTGAAAAGTGCCCGTTCGTCGAAATCCGATGGTCGACCCCTTCCTGGCTTATCTTCCAAGCTGGTGTCGCTCGTTTTGAAACGGGCAAACTATTCCACGCATCGACTTTCGCCGATTGTGCCCTCACGGAAAATTTCATCGAGTTCACCAAATGACTGCGAACATATATTTTAACTACTGGTAGGATTCCGTTTTCTTTATCGAAAAACAAATACATTATAGTGGGCCGCCGCACACTATTGAACAACGTCAATCGTCTTACAATCGATCATCAAATGACTTTTTAAAATAAGGGGTTATATGATAAGTTGTCGAAAAAGTAATAATTTTCAAGAAATTTCATCAAGAACACGGGCACACTAGCGTTGATCGATATAATAGACAGTGGGTCTATCTCAAGGTTAACATCCGCAAACACTTAATTTACCGACAAGTACCACAACTGGTGTAGAGTATCAAAACGATAGGTTATTTCTTAAATAGAAATTTGTGCTCCTTTGTTTTAAACTAAATATTTGCTTATCTGGATTTACAAAAAAAAAAAAAAAGTAGTTATTTTCACAAAGTATTGAAAACGTGAAATTGCTTTTAATTATAAATGATAATCTGTAGTAATAATAAACGTGCTGTAGCTCTTCACTGTTAGCTTTCTCTTAGATGACATTTGTCATGTTTAATTACAGAGTAAAAATAGAAAAAAGTCCACTTCGCAGCATTGCTTTGCAACTATAAGTGCCAGAAAAAAGTTGATAAAAGGAAAATTTCTTCTTAAAATTAAAAACTTTCTACATCACAGAACAAAGCCTAAGATCATACTTTTACTTGATTTCGTGCTACAAAGCATAAACGTGAAGAATCTGTTTGGAAACAGACACCTAACAGCCTTATCATCACGGTTGTTAAAGAATGAGATAAGCAAATTGTGCTTAGCTTCGGGATATGAAACGAGTCTTGATATATAAGTTCGGTTTGATTTTCTGCGCTTTTTAATGAAAATTTTATATAAAACACTTACTTAGACGATTTCTTCTTCAAATTAGGTGAATAACAACTTCATCTGTTAACAGCCTTTTAGGTGACTATAAATATTTGTCATTTTTTTCTTTTAAATTTTATTCTATTTCAATACAAAATTTTTCCTCTTTATGCGGTCATCATTGTTGGATTAGATTCCACGTGCACGTCGTCTTTGCTCTAAGTTTTGAAATTATACTTGCTCTTAGCTGTAAGTTACTGCTTTTCTGCCCTATTTTATCAGAGGCTGGCCATGTCTAGTTTCATATTTCATGTCGAGCCGTGAGGAAGAACATACTAGACGGAGTTTTAACTTTTGCGATCTTCAGCCTTCTGACAACTAGTAAGAGAAAAGTGGATGGGCAAAGAATCGAATTAAATGGACATAAGCTCATCAAAGGGAATTATAGTTTATGCGATCTCTTAACTATTTTATTTTTTCGTTTCAAATGAAAGCATAAACTTAATATACTTAAATCTTTGAGTGAGAGCATAAGAATTACACTAATTATTGGAAATTCGTAAGCGCTTTGTTTTCTTATACCTACCGACGGAAAAGGGGGATATAGCACTTGTCACTCACTCCCTATGTCTCTACCTCCGCTTATCAGCAATTTGAATTTTCAGTCTCAAAATGGAAATTAAATATATATATATTTATATGTATATATATATGTAAGTTTTTGTATGTATATTATATAAACCACTTTATTTACCCATTCCTAGCGTGTATTGAAAAGCAATTAAATATTGTCTTCACACATATATATATAGACAATAAAATATACGATGTAATTATCACAATTTGTTGGACACTCTCCTCAGTGTGTGATAGTAAATAAAGACATAAAAAAAAAAAAAAAAAAAAATTTGAGTCGAATACGACTTCTACCTTTTCATATGCGATATATTGCTGCTATTTGAACTCGCTTTTCTATCTATTAGCGAATTGTAATCTCCAGTGCCACATTGTCGAGATACAAAGTTTACTTTCGAAAGATCAATCTTGTAAAGCCTTTTCGTATTTTGACACTTAAAGACATATTTTATTTCATTATTGGTTAGGATTGAAAATTAAAAAATTCAAATCAAATCGAGAATAATTTGTTTTCCATCTATTCAACACAAAACTATCTTTTGTTAGATCCGTGTATTCAATCTGTGACAGCCAGAACAACATGGCAAAGATGATATAAAGGCTCTCTGCCGAGTCCGTTTGCTCACGTATTTGTCTTCACGCTTCGTTGACGGTCAGAAACACAGATTTGAAAATGAGATAAGTTTGTCCGCCACCACGCACTCATTAAACCTCGATCTGAAATTTTTTGTGAGCCCTCAGCAGAGACTTGGAAAACCCTAATTCGCCTATAAACAAGTTATATTAAACAGAAAACTGCAATTTATGGCTTAGGTGAGATGTTTATATAAAAACCCGATACCTAGAATCTTAAACACTTTCGAGTCTCATTTGTTCTTGATAAGCAAACTGACTAAAAGTGGTATATAAAATATACTCTAGTGCTTTGTGATATGGCTTGAATAAATGTAGACTAAAGATTGGTCCTAAGGAGATTATTAAATCATTTTTTTTCTTCATTTGTGGTCAAGCATTCAGAAATCTTTGGCATTTAGAGTACATGCGAGCAAAGAGAGAGATTATGATTAGCATGATTTCACTAAAGAAATTTTCAAATATCATTGCAAAATCAGCTTTTCCTGTCAATTTAATAGAAGAAGGAACAAAAAAAAAAAAAGAAACAACTTGATAATCTCTCTTATCTCTTCCAGTTACCTCAAAAGAAACCGACTATTGCTAATCTCAAGAGAGCGATAGAAATTGTAGCTAAATTGCAATTAAAAAGAGAATTAAGAGAACGTCAGGCTGAGCGTCTGAAGCGAAGACGCTATAATGCGATCATAGCGAAAACAAGTGACGATAATGAAGAGAACATTGAAAACCTGCAGCAACAGCAAAAACAAAAACAACAACAACATTCAGATACCCAGAAAGATATTGCAAGTAGTGTAAGCACTGAAGAATCCGACAAGACGATAACTAAAGGCGCACGTCTTACTGGTGAATTAGTTTGTTCTACGGTACACAACGGTCACCAACATCGTCCAAACGTATCTTGGCGTTTCTTGTGGCGAGTTTATGCTCTTTACAATTTAGTCACAAATCAGCCGATTAACGATGAGAACGCCGGCGGTCGTCAATTATTAAGTGAATGCGGTATTGAAAACGCACAAACATTGAAATTTTGTAAACGCGAAAAGTATTTCGGTCGGAAGAGGCAAAAATAAAGTAAATGTAATGAATGAATGAATGAATGAATCAATTAATAAAAAAAAAATTTAGTTAAAGTTAATTTTTTTGGTGTTTTTTAACTAACACTCTTAATATTCAATGATTCCATGTAAAATTGCGGCCACATTTTTTTAAAACAAATTGCCATTGAAACGTGTATGCAAACGGGTTATTCTGTGTGTGCATTAACCCAATTCCCTTTACGAAACGCACAAGATGTTAATGACAAAGTCATCAACAACAACGAAAACAAAAGCAAAAATAAAAGCAACGGTTACGACTTGCTTAAAGAGCCAGTTGGTCAGCACGTCCACATCTTTCTCCTCAATCGCTTCAATGAAATTGACTTCGATGAGCTGCAATAGATTTTTTAATCGTCAATCTTTATTGATTTTTTTGGCGGCTTTACTTTTCTTATGCTCTCTACAAATTCCTGTCATTCGGGGCGCTTTCGAAGATGGCAATAATAATAACGTTAAAATAACTGAACAAAGTTTGGAATTAACGCAAACAATTAATATGCAACGTCAAGAATATATGCAAAAGCAATGCGAAACATTGGGTTATAACATTTTAGATTTAAATGATTTAACCGAACAACAAATGGAACATATGATTGTCGATCGAAAACATAAATTGTTGTATTGCTATGTGCCAAAGGTTAGTGCGAGAGATAAGCGTAATTTCAATGGCAAATGAATTCAAATTTTTGCTTTCTTTTTTTTTTTTTTTTGCGTTCAGTGCTTAAAGCAAAAAAATGGACTTCTTAAGTAATTCCCGATTGTCATGCGAGTATCTAAAGCCAAAAAAAAAAAAAAAAAATTACATAAAATAGAAAGAATTGAATTTTAAAGTAACACTCGATCACGCATTTTAAAAGTATCTTCAAGCATTTCAAGTGTTCCCACATCATTTACAGTTTTGAAACAATTGACATAGTTGAAACAGTTCCGACTTGAATACATCCTTCAGATAATTTAAGCAAATGTAAGCAGGAGTACTTTACTCATCTCTCAATACTCGGGGGTATGTGAAAGATGTAGTATTAGATGTTTCTGTGTAAGAAATCACTTTTTTTTCAAGAACTGTAAGTAACACATATGGCACAATATACTTTTACTTATTTAAGACCGAGAGACACCCCAAACAGCTATTTATATGCTGCAGGATTCTCAATAATGCAGGCATGTCTCTTGTATTTAACGCGAGTACCTGTATAGAGACTAAACCTCACGATGCCCTGTGACAGTCGCGTTATTTATGAGTGAACCAACGCCATGTAGAAGATTAGCTATAAGCTAGGAATACAGGATTTATTTAATGTGTATGGCCAATTAAATCCACTCTGAGGTATGTTGGGGCCTATCATTACCTCTAATTATTCGCTTTAGGAATGATGAGAACCATAGGCAACGCGGTACTCCCTGAAGTGCCGTACTCAGCAGTCAGGATTCACTATTCTACTACAAGATTCCATCCGCAAGGTCTTCTTCTACGTAGAGATAGGTACCAAGTGAACCCCTTGGTGCTCAAAGTGAAACTATGAAACTTTTAGCATTACTTTACACGACCATAGTCACACATGCCGGTTAGCCTAGTCTATGAGAGAAGAAGTGCTCTTTTATAAAGAAAACAAAACTCCTTCCACTGCACTCCTAAGTTATCTATGAGAAAAACATGTCGCCAATTTACAGGTAGTCAAGCTCTGAACACTTCTTTGCTGGTCAAAGACCGTTTCGGCACGCCTATGCTCTCCTCCCTAGGCAGAGGTTGTCATCCCAGTTCTCAATGTTCCACTTGGAAGACTTCTCGCACCTGAAATTAAAATTGAAAAAGGAATCGCTTAGTATTATGTAATTCATAATACATGTACGAGCGCCCGCCACTTCACGCGACCAATTCGTAGAACAACATGATTTGAGCTTAAATACATAGTGTAAATCAAATAAATATGTATGGTGTTGTATTGAGATCGTATTATAAGATACCTCGAAATAATTTAATCATTGCAATGTGTACTGTGTTGTACCGAAACCAAGTCTTAAGGTATAAACTTTTATAATGAAAATCTTTATTGACGTTTCGCTTCAAATGTGTCTATCCACAAATGAAAAAGTCAGTTAACTTCAAGCTTTCATAAAAAAAAAATTTATGTAATTCAAATTTAAAAATAAATTCAAAAGATAATGATGACGATGACAAAAAATTAAATTTCATCAGAAATTGCAGTGAACCTGTACTTTTTTCTTTCAAAGCTGTTTTTAAGACTTCTTTTATTAACGATAAAATACATATAGGAAAAAAAAATGAATTCACAAAAGCTCATATACCATTTTTTGAAAATCGTATTGAATCAAAATCGTGTTTTACGTGTAACGCTTAAAGAGGGGTCGAGTGCATATGGTTAAAAATGAATAAAAGGGCGCAAGCATTTTTCCTCCATCTTTGCCTTAGAGTAAATTCCGTATACTCAGTGTAGGGTGTACATCATTACACAGTATGCTAATTGTGTTGAGGCTATAGTATCTTTAATCCCACATCGAATGTCTTAAACCTTAAATCTTTTTGGCTGATTGGGTTTGATTGACAATATTTTCTCTAAGCACCTTTCGGATGGATAATGAAGTTGCTGAATATAAATTCAATTAATCGAGTAATCTAAACTGATTTTATAAACGCCGTGACGCAATTCTTCTCTTCCCTTTCATGCATTGTGATACATATACATAACGAGAGCCAGATTAATATACCTCTTGCTTCTAGTTATATAGAAACCGCAAAAAAGTTTACCACACATATCCTATTTATTTGCCAATAAAAAACTAAAGCAAGCACTTTTTCAGAACAATGCTAATATGCATGTAAAATTTTTCATTAATAAACTATAAAATAACGATATAGAATGTAACATAATATAATTGTCTTGCCTTTCAAGGCGTACAAGGTACAACAACTTAACCTTTTTTTTTTTTTTATACTAATTAATATACATTTACGAAAGTATATAAAACGTAAAGCTCAATGTAAAGCTTGCTTACCAAATGATTGGTTTATTGAAATCAATCAGCCTTTTCGTCTGAAGTACTTCAAAAAAAGTTGCACTTTTCCAATGATCTTTTCAATAAAATCAAAAAGAGGAATCGTATATGGCCAGCAGCAAATGTCCGCCTATGTTAGTAGTCCAGTGTTTAGAGATGATGTTGCTTTAGAACTAGAACGCGCCATCAACTTACATCTCTTTGGTTATGAAATGGCTGGTGAGATATACTCTGCTTTAAATCAATATTTTATATCTACAATCTGGCTACCGTTCGTGTTAATAACTTCTGTTGCACATATCGCGTTGTATACCTCAATGTTTATGTTTATGTTTAAAAAAATGTTGTTGATCAATGATAGTGAAGATCGTTTATTTGTGGAGAAACCACAAAAACGCGGTTAATATCGGTACTTGCAACACCCCACACATGCACAAGTATGCTCGCAATATCCAATTTCCCATTGGACATCGTTGAGTGAATGCGATCGTAATAGTTCAGTTAATGTGATATCGGATATACTGCCGAAAGCTAACTAATGCAATATATTTTCGGTTAATAATTCCAAACTTTACTTCAACTCAGACTTTCATCTGTTCAGAGCTCAATTCTTCTACAGACATTGATTAGAATAAATTTTCAGTTTATTGACAATTGGAAAACTGACTGCATAAACTTTTCCTGTATTTGTAGAATCGGTACAACTAATCCTACAGATCTTCTGAGATCAGCTGCAGAAAGTTATGTCAATTTAATATGTCACATTATTAGAAATGCTCGACCCAATATCTTTGTTAAAATAGCGCCGACAGGCTATGTTGCTTGTGCTCAATTTTTTTTTCCTTTTAATCTAAAAATTTATTCCATTAGCCCATAACAAGGAAAAATTCAGTCCCTGTATCATTTCGTTTAATATATACACACAAATAACAACTCTTCAAAATAAGGCTTTTTGGGGGGAGTGGTCGAGAAAATGGTCCGATACGAACCGTTTTGAGTAGCGTTCGTCCTTAGCCCAAAACACATCTGGATACTAAATTTCATCAGCGTGCATTTCATTAAAGGACAGACGGACGGACAAGTTTGGATCGATTCAAAAAGTGATAGTGAATCGACCAATATACAATAGGAGGGGGGAGAGGGGCTTTGAGAGTAAAAATCATAAAGTAATCGTTAGTGCTGGCAGTGTCTAATTTTCCATTATGTCCAGTTAAATGAATGACATCGTTTCCCCAATAATGACTTGATAGACAAATTTCCTTGTCTTTGATGAATCATGTGAAACATGTTTTCGAGAAAGCTCACAAGGTCACAAAAAAATTAGGATGAAAAGTTGAAATCTTGAGCTGATTTCCACAGGTTAACTACCGCAGTATTTCTATATAAAAACTCTTTACTGAAATGTTTAGCACAGCAGATATCGGCCGAAACGTTAGACCTTCTGTCATTGGCTCAGTGATTTACCAAAAATTTTCAAAAAATATTCAGAGTAGGTATCCAAAATTCGCCCAAAACTCAAAGTATCTCATTTGTTTTCAGCATATTTGTGTAAGGCACGCTGTCTGGCGTTTAATGAAGCATGGATGGATGCATGTAACCAATAAAAATAAAACATAAACCGAAAAAAAAAAAAAAAAATGGAAATATGTTAAGATACTTGAGAAGAATAAACTGTTATAAAATTGTTAGTATATATATGCTATAGTCAAACATTTCCTTAAGAGTGCAAGAAATTCCTTTTACGATTTGCGTCTTTCTCTTAAAGAATTTCATCGATCGTGCTTAAGAACTTTCCTTTCAACGCGTCATCATTGCTTGCTTTTCACAAATGCTTACAACTGGTTTCCTTACTTGAACTTGGACTGTTTGTGAAAAGTTTAAACAGTTTGATGAATGAGCTCAGTTAACTAAAAATATATTGAAAATACTTTATTATGCGTTTACCCTCATTAATGCCACGAAAAGCAATTCCGTGCAATAACAAAGTGCGAACAATTGCACTTTAACCGCAAATAAAAAAAAAATTTAAAAAAAATTCTATAAAATTATATACGTTTTGTGACGTAGCTTGAATACCCAACAACTCGAGCAATGTTTAATGGATTAGTTATGGTTGCGCCAGCTAACTGATCACAATCACAATTGTCTATCCGATTTAATAGTGTACTGTAATGAATATTTATGGAAATATCAAAGTCATGCCCATATTTGATTTTTTCGACCTTATATCGATTTCTTCTTTGCTTCATTTTTCGTTAGTATTTTTCCTATTAGGAAGATTTTCCTCCAAATGAACCTCAAAAGAGATTTCCAACCAATTGTTCAATTTCGAGAGCTCGGAAAGAATATAAACAGAAACATGGCTTCACTTGATGTTTATTTATCGGTGTGACAAACGGACTGAGAGTATTAAGATAACCCTACTCTATGAATATAAAAGTAGTTGAGATTAGTTTTTCGCTTGCAAGTGTAAGTTAATTGCAAAATTTAATTCATTATACTGACATAAGCAGCGTGTTTGAATGAAATCTACTTATTGTGTAAAAAAAAGAAAAAAACTGCGCAAAAATATTAATTAATCGGTTGTTGTAAGTAAGTCTCTTGTTATACTCGGTCGGAAGA